AGAGCATCTTAATCTTAATTAATTAAAATCCTAAGTATTTTGGTCAACCCTAATAACCCACAATCTGACACTCACTACTAAAGCCCTAACAGGTCTCCAAGACTAATCAAATCTAAATCACAACCGGTCATCACACTTCAAATAATTAATCACAACTACACCTACGAATGCGCTTATCCAAATACTAATTTACTAATTTTCTTGTCAGTCAATAATTAGGAAAAAAATAAAGTGAATAATAATAAAAAAAGACCAACTTATATTGCAGAATTTGTGTGGTGCGACAAATTAAAGTACGCATGTAGTAGACACTATGATTTCGCATGAACTTCCGCTCTCAGGGAATGTGGGCAGCTGGGAAAGAGCAAATTATAAGATTCTTTTTTATTTTTATTTTTTATATTTATTTTGATCTTCTGCATGGGTTAAAAAACCAAAATTTGTGGGGGTGAATCACGTGACACCACCACTACGCCTTTATTTTTTATGGGACCACATGCCCTAATAAAGGACACCTAGTGAATACCATTATACCAAACTTTGTAAAAGTGGTGTAAAGACCAACGGTGAACATGGAATTATCAATAATTACGAGCCTCGTCTATTTACGCTTTGGTTAATTTTGATACCTTACTTGCAGGTGTAACATTAATGTAAAAGTTTATGATGGGACTTTGATCGCACCTTACACGTTGAGTCACAATTATCAATGTTGATTCTTTACTTGGCACTGAAACGAGTAAATTTTGAGGTTCGTCCATCAAACCAGGTGTTTTTTTATTTTTTATTTTAATAAACAATATTATCTACACTAAAAGTAAGAGAATGAATTAGACCTCACAATGTGCTAGCAATAACGTGGTTCAAATTTACCTTTGGTAAAAATCGAATCTAAAACCTTTCATTTACCAGTGAAGAGAAATATCACTAAATCGTAGTACTAAATGACATCAAACCAGGTGTCTTAGCAACAAAATAAATAGATTGGGCTATTATATTAGGAGTAGGATTCTCTCCCCTCTAAATTCCATTTTCCTTTAATCCTCTCTTATTTGAATGTTCATGATTAAGTCATGTCAACATTTTATGTGGACTTCTTTGTAGAAAGAGAAAGACAAAAAGTAAAGTGAGAGAGAAGGGAAGGAGATTTGGAAATGAGAGACAAAAAGGAAAGCGAGAGAGGAGGGCAGGAGATTTGGAAATGAGAGAATCCTACTTCGTTATATTAGGTAATTACTAGCAGCATTATTCATTATCTACATCTGTTAGAGAAGTTTAAATACATGCGCTCGTTCATATAGAAAAACTTGTTCCAAAGAGAGATTGTGAAAAAAATTTATGATATGACACGTCATTGTGATGAGGATATACACATGCTCTATGAGACAAGAGGGTTAATTTGGTGAACCCCTTGAAGTGGAACATTGGAAGGGCCAACAAAACATCCAACGTCTTATATTGATGTTCTCTTGTGTTTGGTAGCATAATTATTGTTAAACTAAATCCATAATATACAAGCTTGTAGGATCCACAGAGTGTGGTGGACCTCAATCGAAGCAAATAACCTGCCATTTGAAACCGTTGCGCTCCAGAACTGCTTAACTCGCTGTCGTTACTCAGGCACCAAAACAAACGGTAGAGAGTAAATGCTAAGAATTATTAATATTTTATACATTCTCCAAAAAGCCCTTCGGCATAGACACTAAAAATCAGCTTCGACGTTCAATCATAGGGCTAAAAAGGTAATATAAACCAAGATGACGACAAAGCGTAAATAGGACCAACAATAAGTATCATCATGCAGTTCACGATTTTTATATATGCTATTTATTTACGAATTAATTTTCATACAAATTAGAAGCACCATAAGATTTTTGGGCGTTACATTTATAAATTGCCTTGTTGTTAATTAACTTAAGGAGGGTGTGTAAATGTTTATATATCGTAATCATCATCCCTAATTACGTTTATCATTTTTGGTAATACACACGTTACATAACTAATGTAAGAAGTATTGCATGATTTCCTTTTGGTCTTAATACAAACATTAAAATTCTAATGAAGTGAAATGTATTTTGTATATGAAAACATGTGCGATGAATCTTTGCTAAATATGTTGTGTGTGTGTGTGTGTATATACAAGGGGTTTTTTGAAATAGGTTCAAAGTAACAAAAAATTGGACTTATTTCAAAAGTAAAAAATCACTAAATATTAGACCTATTTCAAAAAGTAGTCTATAAAATTGGATCTATTTCAAATTTTCCCTATATATAAAAATGGTATTTGGCCACCACAATCCTTGAGTTTTTGAACAATCTAGTCGAGGTACTTACCACTACATTCTAGTTGATAATTAATTATAGTGGCAAGTACTTTAACTCACGTTTTTGAATACCCAATCGTTCAAATACCCAATTTTACTTTTATTTATTATTTTAATATTTAAAAAATATGAAATATTTTTTTTAGTTTTTAATAATATTTTATTGATTTTTTAATAGAAAGTGGTCCCCGTCTATTGCCACGTCAGCATTTAACAGAAAAACTAACAGAAAAATTGACGGAGGTATGACATTGTCACAAATTCGTAAGATGCGGTATGACATTGTCAATTTTAAAAGATGAGGTATGAAACTGTCATGACCGCAATAGTTGAGGTAGTTTTTTGTACTTTACCCAAAATGTTATTCAACTTAAAACATAAAGCCTAAATGACAAAAAACTACCTCAACTATTGGTCTGACCACACTTTCATACTTCATCTTTTAAAGGTGACAATGTCATATGTCATCTTTTAAAAGTGACAATGTCATACCTAATCTTACGAATTTGTGACAATGTCAAACCTCCGTTAGTTTTTTTGTTAATTTATCTGTTAAATGCTAACGTGGCTAGAAACGGGGTCCACTCACTAATCCAGTTGAATTAAAAAATAATTAAAGATATTTATAATAATAAAATATTAAAAGATTAAAAAATTAAGAATAAAAAAAAAATATATTTAAAATGGCGTAAGGGTGCAGGCCTCCTCTTTCCTCCACCTGCACCAACCTTCTTCTTCTCTTCGACATCCACCAAACTCTTCCCCGTCCCCCCAACCTTCCCCATCGACCCGTGTCTTCCCCCCCCTTCCAAAAAAGAAAAAACCTTCCTTCACCACCCCATCGCCGCCTTTCTTCCTCCATCTTCACCACCCCACAAAAAAAAAACCAAAGAAAAATAAAATTTAGGAAAAACAAAAACAAAGAAGCTCGAGACTTAAGCTTGACAGAAGACGCGAAGCTGAAACTTTGACGAAATCCACCACCATAGAAGACCCCGACCCCGACCCCGAAGGAACAAAACCCACCTTCCCATTGCAGCAATTATTGCCGCAATTCGAAAACCCCAAAAAGGAGAACCCAATATTGCATCTCTGGATCCCTTCTCTCAATTTGGTCACAATCTCCAACCTGCGTTCTAAATTGACTGGAGCTTGCAGCCCTACCCGTCTTTCGACGATGTTGGTCTCATCACAGGCGAAGTCTCCACCGTTAGTAGCGTCGATTTGTCACGCCACCGTCGTCGTTATTGAAAAATGAAGAGAGAGTTAAAGTTGAAGGCATTGGGTCATCAAAAACCTTGATTTGGAGATCGCAACGACATTGTTCGACGACGTCATCTTCGTCGACTACTCAACCTCCCTTACTCTACTACCCTTGATCTGCACCTGGACGCCCAAAACGACAGCGTCAACCTGAACTCGGACTGAGAACCAGTCTGATTTAGGATGAAGTCTGAGTCTGTGGGGTAGTGGAAGGGACACGGGTCAATGGGCAACATCTGGGTGTGGGTTGAGTTTTTTTGGTTTTTTGGGTTTTTATTTTTATTTTTTAATATTTAATTAATTTTTAATAGAAAGTGGTCCCTGTCTCTAGCCATGTTAGTATTTAATGGAGAAATTAACAGAAAAAACTGACGGAGGTTTGACATTGTCACAAATTCATAAGATGAAGTATGACATTGTCATTTTAAAAAGATGGGGTATGAAAGTGTCGTTCGACCCATAGTTAAGGTAGTTTTGTGTAATTTACCCAAACATAAAATAAGTTTTACAATTCATTTTTTATATTAACGTTTAATATTGGATTAGTTTTGTTTGGATGTCTTTTGCACTATATTATGATGTTTGAATAATACATCTTATCCAAAAATAAAATAAAAAACTTAAAACATAAAACATGAAATAAGCTTCAAAATTTCAAATAATACGTGCAGGGCCCGTTTTGTTGATTTACCTCGAGTTCTTAATATCTTGAGAATTGATCCTACTAATTCAAACAAATTACATTAGGATATGACATGTATATGGCTAATTAATAACAATATTTGAGAAGTCGAATATAGATTGTAACGTCAAATTTATTGATTTTAACTATGTGTCAACTGGTGCATAGACACTTTTAACCCTGTATTAGATGTTAAAGTGATAATTTTAACCCGGTAAAGACGATATAATTTACACCAAAATGAAAATGTAGTGTTGAATTGGAAATGTACATTTCCCTTAAGAAGAACACTCACATGTAGATAGATCTATGATACTCTTCTGCGCATTAACATGTAACAAATGTAAGAAGATAAAAGTAATTCTATTGGCATTCACTGCCACAATGGGTGTTCCAAAAAGGCCAAAACTAGCTTTTTTTCTAATTTAGATGAAGAGTGGCAAAATAGTCAATGACTCAAAGGAAAAGTACTACAGTTTACAAAGTCAAGTAGTGAAAAGAATGCAAATCAAAGCAACATTATTAATATAAAAAGCCGAAGACCCAAGTGCCATAGACCAAAAATGGGTGAAGAAGGAAGTGAGAGAGTGAGTGAGTGAGTGAGGAGTGAGAGAGAGAAACCGAAACAAAGAAAGATTTGAGAAAATCCATGTACGTTAACCCTTTTTTAAAAGCTGGGTGGTGGTGGGTTGGGTGGGGGTGAGAAAATTACACAAACATATATACATAGATAGATACAGCTGTTGAGAGCAGTGGGGCCTTGGGGTGGTGGTGGTAGGGTCAAAGTTATCCCCACAAGAAAAATCTATTGCTCTGCTTGTTTCCAAACTCTCCCGCCTTCCCGCTTCTTGAAAATCCTAGACCTATTTTCCAAATTCCAGCAGACCCACCTCGCCATTTCTTCCTTTTTTTACAGTTTGGGCTTTAGAGAGAAGGAGACTAAATTCAGCACCAAAAACGTGTAGAGAGAGAGAGAGAGAGAGAGAGAGAGAGAGAGAGTGTGTGTGTGTGTGTGTGTGTGTAGCGGTGGTTGTGGGCTGATGGAGTGGCTGAGGTAGTGGTGGCATGCGGTGGAGCTGCCTCTCTGGAAATGGACACCCCCGAGAGGAACCAGATCGGCACCCCCAAGGCCAAATTTGAGGTCAGGGTTTGTGCCCATTTTGTTTTATTTATTTATTTTTTAATTCTGAATTTTTAAGGTTGTTTCTGAACTGGGTTTTTGAGGTTGTCTCCTCTGTGTTTCTAAAGCTCGTGAATTTCTTGAGAAAGTTGACCTAGGATTTTTTTGGTTTTGTTTTTCCCATTTTAGTTTCATGGGTTGCCGTTGCCCTGCATCACTGCATGTGGGTTGATGTTTGATTTTCAGCTGGATCAGCTCTCATTTTTTTGGGTGGTCAATTGGATATTCTAATCCTAAGAAGGATCACTTGATAATTCTTTTGAGATAATTAATTGACAGTTTTCTCATTTTATTTTCTGCTTTTATTTTGGAAAAGTGTCTGCTTTATGTGGGATTACAGAAATTTATGATTTGGATCTCAAAAATAATCTCAATTTTATGGTCAGTTGTCACAATTTGGCTTCTTGAGAAATGATTTTCTTTGAATAAAAACTCAATTTCGGATTGCTTTGGACCTAATTTTTACCAATTTACCCCCTTTTTTACTGGTTTGCAGAAGGTGATGGAATTAAATTCGAAATTTCTTTTCTTTTATTTTAGATTGAATGCATTGCTAAGCTTTTTTATTTTTTATTTTTTATTTTTTACTTTTTTATTTTTTTTCTTGAGCTATTTGTTTTCTTGAGGAACTTTCTGAGTCACTTGTTACTTAATTATTTGTTACAAGATGATAATCACATTCTCCAGCAGATTTGAGGTCATAAAGCCATAATTTGGTGAGGCAGACGTTTCAGTAAAGTTATTAACAGATTTGATTTATAGGTTTTCATGAAAATTTTCAGATAATTAGTTTTGTGGACATTCATTTCCCAGATTTCGTGGTCAATTTTTGCTTGATTGTGATTTATATGTAATATGTGGATCTTCTTTTCTTTTGCTAGTGCAATTTTTTAGATATTATATTATTAGTTGTGTATAATTTCTATATTTTAGACCGGGCTTAAACTGCGAAGAAATATGTGTTTTCCTAGGAGAGTTCATCTGGTTCAGGATTTGGCAATAGCATCCGAGAATGTGTATACCCGGAGTACATGACCCATATTTATGTTATGATCGTTGTGTGTGTGTGTGTGTAATTTTTTCATCCTGTAAAGTTTTTTGTTTTTCATAAGTGCAGGATTCTCCAGTCTTTAACTATATCAGTAGTCTTTCTCCTATCAAGCCGGTAAAGTCTGTGCACATTACTCAGACGTTCAGCTCCCTCAGTTTCGCTTCCCTTCCTTCCGTTTTCACTTCACCCCATGTCAGTTCTCACAAGGAATCCAGGTTCTTGAGGAGGTAATTGACTGCTGTATTTCTTTTTTACTTGTATTTTTTACCACCTATTTTGCGTGGTAAATTATTCTTGCATTTCTTTCAGGCATAACCCTTCAGATCCATCAAAACCTGAGTCCTCTCTGGAAAGCGGTAACAAAGTCTCTGTGAATGAAGATGCAGCTGAACTCTATATTAACGCAGAGGAGCTGCATGAGAATTGTGTTCCAGGGGAGTCTGTAGGAGAAGCTTCTGCAGAACCACCTTGTGAGCACTCAAAGTTTGTGATTGAGCTGCCGCGAAATTTGAAATATGACTGTGGTAGCCCTGAATGTGACGCAACAACTTCTTGTGGTACTGAGGCAGGTTGTGAGTTGGAAGCGGCTGGCTTGTCAGCTCCACTCGTTCCATATGCTCAAAAGACCTCTGAAAATGGTTCATCTGATGGTGATGGTGATGCACATCTACAGAACATATGCCAGAGTGGCCAAAGAAGAGAAGGGACAGGCTGTGATTGGGAGAGTTTGATCTCTGATGCTACCGACCTATTAATTTTCGATTCCCCCAATGCCTCAGAAGCTTTTAGGGGGATAATGCAGAATCCTCTGGACTCCGTAACAAGATTTTGTAATTCTCTTATGCCGCGACTCTCACGGAATGACATTAATGATGAGCAAAACGTGCTAGTCCTTGATACAGTTGGTTCCGGAGAACAACCTGAAACTGAAGATCCTTCCTCTCAATATGGAGAAGCTAGTCAGCAGGAAGATACAGAACTGATGCAGGACCATTTGAATAGTTGTATGGTTAGCAATCAAATCGAGAAAGAAGATCAGTTCAATTGTAAGGTAAAACACTCACTATGCCTTCACGATAGTCCTAATAATGCTGATTCCAAGGATTCTTGACTACTTTGTTATGAATTGTTGTCCTTACCTTATTTATTTTACTTATTTGGTTGTGCTAATACTATTTTCTCTGTTTGTGCATTAGCCTGGTTTAAATTTGCATCGTGGCTTGCGAAGGCGCTGTCTGGATTTTGAGATGGCAGAAGCTCGCAGGAAGAGTTTAGACAATGTTCAAAATTCTAGTTCTTTGTTATCTCAATCTGATGAAAAAATCACTACAAATGATAAGCAACTGGTTCCAATGAAACCTGGTGGTGAATCCGCCCGGTGCATCTTACCTGGAATTGGTTTGCACCTAAATGCTCTTGCAACAACCTCAAAAGACTACAAAACCATTAAGCGTGAAAATATGGCCTATGGTAGACAACTAAGTTTGCCCAACCTCTCTGCCTCTGCTCATTCCCCCACAGCTGGTCAAGGACCTGGTCATGAATCTTTCTCTTCGGCTTCTTCTGAAAGGGACATGGATGGCACCGAAAATGGCGTTCAGCTGCTGCAAGATGCTTCCCAAGAACCTGCATTTTTAGCTAATGAAGAGTTTAACCAGAATAGCCCCAAAAAGAAGAGGCGTGTGCTGTTGACCATATATTCTTCATTAAATTATTATGTCATGTTCATTTTCATTTTCATGTGATTGGTTAGATTTTTGTACTTTTATCTGACATCTTATAATTCTGATTGGATGTGCAGGCGCAAGTTCGAACAAGCTGGAGAAACCGAGTCTTCTTGCAAACGTTGCAACTGTAAAAAATCGAAGTGTCTGAAACTGTAGGTTCTTCATCTCCCTTTTAGTGAAGCCTAAAACTTTTGTCACTCGCAGTGAGACAGCTTTTATTGAATGTTTGAATATTATCAGTCAGATATATATTGGCTTAGGAATTTCATTTCGCTCACTTTAGAATTGCATCCAATTATCTCAATCAACATTGTCCTTTGATATGAAAAAGCTTTAAAACTGGTGGCTGTTACACGTTCTACATGTAGAGGAGTTACGTCCTGCATAATCTCCTGAGGCGGATAAACTGTTGATGTTCTTTGATTCTGTTTACCTCTTGCACTGGTCCTTGAGTCTATAATTTGACTTCTGATACTGTTCGTGCAGTTACTGTGAATGCTTTGCTGCTGGTGTCTACTGCATAGAGCCATGTTCATGTCAAGAATGCTTTAACAAGCCTATTCATGAAGATACTGTTCTTGCAACTCGTAAACAGATTGAGTCTCGCAACCCACTTGCATTTGCTCCGAAAGTGATTAGGACCGCTGATCCTGTTCCTGAATATGGGGTTAGAAAATGAATCCAATATTCTATGCTCTGTTTGCAGGTTGAACAGCAATTTTTAACCAGTAAAAGTTGCTTTCACTTGCAGGAGGAGTCCAGCAAGACCCCAGCTTCTGCACGGCATAAAAGAGGTTGCAACTGCAAGAAATCAAGCTGCCTGAAAAAATACTGTGAATGCTATCAGGTTCACCATCAGCATTTCTTGTTTGCTTGTAATATCCTATTTAAATGTTATTCACATTTGCTTGTTTTTTTTTTTTTTTTTTAAAAGGGCGGTGTTGGATGCTCCATTAGCTGCAGATGTGAAGGCTGTAAAAACGCATTTGGTAGAAAGGATGGTGAGTGGCGTGTTATGCTCGACTTAATTACTTCTTCGTGGATTTCTTTTTATCTGCTGCATTCCCATCTGAATTTGATGTCCTTCAGTGTGCTTGCCAATTATCTTTATATTTGTTCCTTATTCCTTTGCAATTCAGGATCTTTTGTAGGAACAGAAACTGAGGCAGACGAAGAAGAAACAGAAGCATGCGACAAGAGTGTGGCTGAAAATCATCAACAGAAAAATGAAATTCAGAAAAATGAAGAGCAGCGCCAGGATTCTGCTCTTCCCTCAACGCCATTACGGCTTTCCAGGTTTAATTCTTAAGCTATCTGTTGGTTGAGAAGTTGATGTATCATTGCTATTAGATGTTTAACAATTCTTTTATGTTCCAGACAATTCTCACTGCCGTTTTCATCAAAGAACAAACCGCCAAGATCTTCTACTTTTAACATTGGATCGTCTTCCGGATTATATACAATCACAATCCAGAAACTTGGAAAACCAAATATTCTGCGCCCTGAATCCAAGTTAGAGGGACATAACCAAGCAGTTCCGGATGATGAAATGCCAGAGATTCTTCAAGGAGATGGGTCTCCTAGCACTGGCATCAAGACCGCTTCTCCGAATGGTAAGAGGGTGTCTCCTCCCAATAATGAATTTAGGCCATCACCTGGTCGAAGGGCGGGTAGGAAACTAATTTTACAGTCCATTCCTTCGTTCCCTTCCCTCACTCCCCAGCATTGAGATGGTTGGAATTTCGCGAAGCTAAATCTTTTAGTATACCTTGTACTCAAAAGATATTAAGTTCAGTTCTGTAAGCCGTTTCAGTTAGTTTCTCTTTTTTTTTTTCTTTTCTGTACTTGTATCATAATATGTATCCCTGCTCTCTTGGTTGCATAATATGGAATTTCAGTCTATAGTTTCTTCTTTTACCCCATTTGTTTCCAACCTTACCATTTTTAATTTGGTTTCCATTTCACATGTGCATTGGTTAAATATGGCCTGGCATATTTCCTCTTTGAATATGATTTTCCCTTCAAGCTCATGACAGCTTAGTGAAATATGCACCTGCACAACTTAGATCAGATCAGTTTATCGTATATGTTGTCTTGTATGTAGTAACGTAGATTAAATTCACTCGTTTAGTGATCTTGTATTCTTTAGCGTAGATTTAACCGTTAAATCGTGGTGCACATCTAGCATGGTATGCCGTACATTGAATTCTTACACAATCATAAGGGTTGACAAATAGAGCAACCATCCTGAATGAGAAATGAATAGTTGCACTCGTAATCATCATGTCGAAAAGGAAAAACAAAAAGATATTTAACGAAACATTCCCGGTATTTAAAAACCATAATCTTCAAAAGGCCAAAAACATTTGCTGAACACATTCTACACTACATCAATGTTGATTTAAAAAAAATGACGTTTAACAGAAAGCTGCCGATTCACTTTAATGAAAAATCACATTTTTACACTAAAAAGTCAATCTTGGTACTATTCATTTTACCCTTTATTTTGTCATTATCATTAAAACTCAAAGTTTTCAAGTTTTTTTCATTAGTTTTCCTTTCAAAAAATGGATATTTGGATCTCCTTAGTCTATTATTCTCTCACAAAAACATTACATCTTTCGAACTTAAAAACAATAATTTGCTTAGGGTATAAGGGTATGGTCTCAACTGTTAACCAAGCTTGATCATATGCAAACTTTGAGAGAGAGAGAGAGAGAGAGAGAGAGAGAGAGAGAGAGAGAGAGAGAGAGAGAGAGAGAGAGAGAGAGAGAGAGAGAGAGAATCTTAGAGAAGAAGTAATCTGTTCCGTATTGATATTTTTCCTTACAGTTTACATCACCATTGTGGTATATATATACAACTAAGTTGGCTTACACTCTAAGCTAACTGATATAACAAACTCCTAACTGCTTGCCTAATCTTATGACACTTGTCAAGGGTATAACCCTTAGATTAATCACTCCTTACATCCCCCCTCAATCTTAGGGGCAGTGAAACTGAGTCGGAGATTGGCACAATGAGTCTGAAACAATGGTGCAGACAACCCTTTAGTGAGAATATCTGCAAACTGTTCAAGTGAAGAGACAAACTGAACCAACAACATTCTTTTAGCCACCCGTTCCCGCACAAAATGAACATCGATTTCAATATGTTTGGTATGTTGATGCTGAACTGGATTACATGTAAGAGCAATCGCAGATAGATTATCACAGTAGAAAGTAGGTGTACCAGAGATTGGAACTTGCAGAAAATGTAACAATTGCTTTATCCAATCAATCTCAGCAACAGTGGAAGACAAAGCTCGGTACTCTGCCTCAGTGGAGGAACAAGAGATCGTGTTTTGTTTCTTTGAAGGCCAGGAGATGGGATTAGAACCAAGAAAGACAACCAGTCCCGTAGTTGAGCGACGATCATTAGGATCCCCTGCCCAATCATCATCGCTGAACACTTGTAAATCCAATCCACCTTTGGTATAATGTAAACTACATCCTTTAGTAGCTTGCAGATAGCGCAGAATCCTTTTAACTGCCACAAAATGAGCTTCCATAGGGCATTGCATGAACTATGAAACTTGATGCACTGCAAAGGCAATGTCAAGCCGAGTAAAAGTAAGGTATTGAAGTGCACCCACAAGGTTGCGATACAGGGCTGGATTATTATAGGGCTTCCTATCATCCTTCAGCAACGATTATAGGGTAGGCAAGGTGTAGCACATGGCTTAGACATCTCCATTCCAGATTTAAGAAGCAAATCACCAACATATTTAGCTTGAGATAGAGATAAGCCATCCTTCTTATGAACAACCTGAATCCCAAGAAAATAATGCAATGGTTTGAGATCTTTGATATCAAACTCTTGAGTAAGTGCAGGAATAACATCCAATATAGCTTGAGAAACATTACCCGTGATGATAATATCATCAATATATAGTAGGAGAATCACAACAGAACCATTCACAGCTTTGTCAAATAAAGAGGAGTCACTATAGGTCGATTGAAACCCCAAAATGGTAAAAAAAAAACTAGTAAATTGCTCATTCCAAGCCCTTGGGGCTTGCTTAAGGCCATATAAGGACTTGTGCAACCTACAAACATAGTCACTGTGAGTAGAGTCCAAGAAACCCGGAGGTTGAGCCATATAAATTTCCTCTTGTAACACACCATGCAAAAAAACATTTTTCACATCAAGTTGACGAAGATTCCAATTAAAATGAGCAACTAAGGCAAGTACTAACCTCATTGTAGTAGCCTTAACGATGGGACTAAATGTCTCACTATAGTCAATTCCTTCTTCTTGATTATAGCCCTTTGCAACTAAATGAGCCTTATATCTCCCTACAGAACCATCTGCATTCTTTTTAATCTTGAACACCCACTTGCAGCCTACTAAATTTTTGTGAGATGGAAGAGGAACAAGGGACCAGGTTCTTTGATTATGAAGAGCACTCAGTTCATCTTTCATTGCAGCCAGCCAAACTGGAGATTTTAGAGCAGATTTATACGTTGCAGGTTCTACCTTAGTAAGATCAGCACCACCATTTTCATGAACATATGCCAATAGAGCAATCTTTTTCGAAATACCACTATTGGATCAAGTCTGCATAGGATGTACATTCAATGGGGGGTATGGGCAAAACCACCTGAAGTTGATCCCCCTGAAATTCAGGAACCACAGAGAGTGATGGAGAGGATTGAGGAGCAGTGATAGTAATGGGTGAAGGAGCAGGTGAAGAATTGGACCTTGATGCACTTGGAGTTGCATAATAATGATCATTCAAACCTCCAGAACTATTCTCAGGTGGCAGATGCACAGAGTCAACATTTGGGATATGTGACACAAATTCAAGTGTATTTGACGGAAAGGACGGAGACACAAATTTGACACTTGGTGTAACCATGACATTGTCCAGGTTTAGAGTTAACAGAGGGATAGGCGTGGGCATGGTAGGCAATGTAGAAAACTTTGTGGAGGATTTAGAATCCAAAGTGGTATATGGAAATTTTGTTTCATCAAACAAAACATGACGCGATATATAAACTCTCTGTGTGCTAACTTCAAAACAAATGTACCCCTTATACTTTGAAGCATATCCTAGGAAGATGCACTTGGTGGTCCTAGGTTGTAGTTTGTTGTGAGTATAGGGTCGAAGTAAAGGATAGCAGGAACACCCAAACACTCGAAGATGATGGATCTCAGAAGTAAAACTAAACAAGGCCTCAAATGGAGATTTATTTTGTAAAGTGGAAGAAGGCATTCGATTAATTAGGTAGACTGATGCTTGACATGCAAATGACCAAAATGAAGATGGTAAAGAAGCTGTTTGTAACAGGGTAATGGAGGTTTCTATAATATGTCTATGTTTGCACTAGGCAAGCTTGTTTTGTTCTAGGGTATGTGGACAAGACATTTGATGGATAATACCTTTGGCCACTAAAATATTTTGGAAAGGTTTACCTATATACTCACCCCCACCATCACTTTGAAAGACTTTAATAGAAGCATGGAATTGATTGACAATGAAATTATAAAAGGAAACAAAGGTAGTACCAACATCACTTTTATTGCAAATTGGAAAAATCCAACAGAACCTAGTAGAAGCCTTCGACAGAAACACAAGAAGCTAGACCCCAAACATCACTATGTACAATCTTAAAGGGTTTTACAGATTTAGATGAAGACATAGGAAATGGTAGTTTACTAAATTTTCCCGCTAAACATGTAGAACAAACAGTAGGTAAAGAATCAGGAATATGAGAGACATTTGACTTTCTAAGGATTTGAGAGACTATGGGATTAGAGGGGCGACCCAATCTTTGGTGCGAAAGCCTTGATGATACTTGTTGTCCAAGATAGGTAGTTGCATAAGCTTTCTGTGTTGAAACATGATTTGATGGAGAAATGATTGGATATAACCCTATTACTGCACTGCCCTTTGTATAAAATCCTCCCTGTGGTTTTGTCATGAATCCAGAAACAAAAGGCATAAAAAAATCAACCAGCAATTATTGTCCAAACAGATACGATGGACATATCACAAATTCTGTGTCAATTTTGGAACATATAAAACAGACTTTAATTGAAAGGATTGTAATGGAGTACGAAGAGTTGAAGAACCAATGTGAGAAATAGATAAACCTTCACCATTGGCTGTTTAAATAGATTCATGAGAGGGATATGGGGTAGTAAGGGACAAATTGGACAGATCAATGGTCATATGATTAGTAGCCCCAGTATTAGTGATCCATACTTGTTGAGGTGGTGCAGAAAGCAATTGAGAAGTTGCTGGATTACCATAGGTGTTATTAACATACATAGTAATCATTGGAGATGATGATCCTTTCTGAGAACAAAACTCAACATTGTGATTCGGGTTTCCACAGATTTGACAACCAGTAGACGGAGCTGTATTTTGAAATCTACATGTGACAGCCATTTGATTATTCCTGCCATAAATATGACAACTTTGAGAAGAACGAAAACGACATGTATCAGCTAAATGATTGATTTTTCCACAAATTTGACAAGGGATAAAGGGATAACTTCTAAACTGTGAAGCCGAGCCAAGAATACTAGAACCAGGTGACCATTATTGAAGAATGGTTTGGAATTATTGAACCTGTTATTCGAATTGAATTTTCCCTTGTTCTTATTGTTGAAGGATTTGTAGCCAGAAGAATTGTTATATGCGGGATACAGTCTCCCTGATTGAGACTGAGATTCAAAGGTTGCAGATTTTTGCGACTGAGCCACTAAGGCATTTAGCATAGGAGCAGTAGTAAGAGTCTCACTCATTGCTTCTTCAGCAAGTAATTGGGACCAAAGATCCTTCAAGGAAATAACCGATTCACGCCCCCTTATCACAAACCGGATGGTGTTATACTTAGAGGACAACCCATTCAATGGAAGGATCACGA